ACAGCACTGTAAAATAATGAATTCATAAAACATTGCACAACAAGAGTGAGTCTAGAAAACATTATGTTAAGTAAAAGAACTCAGTCACAAAAGTACAAATATTGCATAACACTGCTTTTATAAAACAGGACATACATGCGGGAGGTTGAAGACAGAATGGGAAAAGAGTAGATAGATATGAACACTATATTAGATCAGATGAATGGAAAAAAATGTCTGAAAAGAATATTTAGACACTAGATATATGACAATCTGAAACAAAGGGTACACTGTAGGGAGGGCTGGCAAAAGAGGAAGGGAAGAGTGGAAGAAAATGGGAAAAATGAACAATTTAAAAAATGAAAGAAATATTTTTATGTTAAAAAAGAAACAAATTCTAATGTAAGAGTATAAAATAGTATTAAAAAAACCAAAAGATATTCTAAACAGTAGATTTAAACATAGAGAAAGGAAAGAATCAGTGAACTTAAAGACAACTTGAAAAGGTTGTGTACAATATTAAACAGAGAGAGGAATAGCTCTAGTGGCCTACTAAGAAATTGTGTCTCCAGCTCTAAATAAGGCACAGGCTTTGAATCCATCTGTTGCTGTACAGGAGAAAGATGAGCAATATTCTCCCATGTGATTTAAAGCCTCTGAATAGTTGATAGAGGGTCAACTATGAGTTTGTTCCTACTGGACAGCACAGAACAACAACAACAACAACAACAACAACAAAGAGAAAATAAACAACAAAGAAAATGCAATAAAGCCTCCAATAAAAATACTGGGTATACTATAAAATAGATCAATAGTGGAATACTGACAGGAACAGAAGGAAAATAGAGAAAGGAACAAAATAATTGGTGAAATTATTAATTTACATCTTAAAAACTCATGAAATTTCAAGTAGAATGAGTAAAAAAAGAGATCCACATATAGATAAAATATTGAAAAATTTCTCCCATAAAAGATAACAAAAATTTAACAAATTATTTATTATCACAAAAAGCAATAAAAGGAAGAAGATATTTGGGTAACATATTCAAAGCAAAAATAGTTTCTTAAAATTCTACAATCAATCTTCTATCCAGAAAAAAAATTAAATAGAAATTTTAATTATGGAATTTCTAGATAAGCAAATTCATTTTAGTAGATCTCCCTACGCTTAAATGCTTTAATATATTCTTTAAGTTAAATTAAGTACTACCAGAGAGTAATTCAATCCACAAGAAGAAGCTAAAACTTCCAGTAAATGTAATTATATGGGAAATTTTATAAGTGTAGCATTGCTTGGTTTTTCCCATTTATCTTTTAACTGATTTAAGAAAGAAATTTCATAAAATAGTAACTGCAATTTTAGCTTATTAAACACAAAAATGTAATACACTTCACAATAATTTACTTTAAAAGTGGGTGTGAGAAACATGTAGTAGAGAAAGAATTAAAGTAGTTCACTTCAGTTGAGTATGACTCATAGTAACCTTATGAACAACAGATCTGAACATATTTGTGCCATCCTCAGTAACTACATTGAGGATTTTATAAAATATCTATAAAAAAAGAGAAAAAATAACTACAGAAAGCAATAAGTATAATAGTATATAGGTAGGTTTATAACACAAAAAAGAGAAGAAAAAAACAAAATGTAACAGTTAATTTTATATATCTCTCACTAAATTAAAATGCCTATGAAATAAATACTGATAGGTAGTAAAGACACTACTGTAAGGCCTGGAACAATCTTAAAATATTTTAAAAACATGAATTAAACAATGATGAAAGGAATTGAAAGGTTACAAGAATAACATAGTTCAAAAGAAACTTTAAAGGAACAAGCAGGGAATAAAAAAGATATATGTGCCATGTAGTCACTTGCCAATCCTAAGTACATTAACTCTGAACCTTGCCCTATTCTGAGCCAGTTTCACTGTTTCCACATATATATAATTTTAGCAAGGAAAAGAAAACAGTCAAAATTTCCACCAACAAATGAACAAACAGTGGTACATTCACAGAATGCAATAAGGAGCAAATATTTTAAATACTATAATATATGGGAGCAGTCATTTAAATACTATATAATATGGGAAAATCTTGAGCGCATTATGCTGAATGAACTCAATCTCATAAGGAAAAGTATGCCATAAGACCATTATTGTAAAAATAGAAGTATAAAGGGAGCTCTGGTGGCCTAGTGGCAAGAAGCTGCACTGTAATCCCAGAGGAACACGGTTCAAATCCACCAGATGCTCTGCTGGGGAAGGAGGGACAATCTCCTCCTGTACCAGTCAGACCTGATTTGACGGCACACACACACACACACACACACACACACACAATAATAAAATAATTTTAAAAAAATAGAAGTATAGCTAGATATATATAAATGTCTAAAAGGGGAAGGAGAAAGGTGGGAAGATTGAGGGGGGAAGGTGCAGGAAATGGAGAAGGGGCGAATCACAAGCATAGAAGAGTTTAGTAGGCAGATAAAGGAGAAGAATAAGAAACAGCCAATTGGGACTTGAAAACACAGGGTAATAATAGGCATGGATTAACAGTAATGAATTTTAGAAAATTCACTATGTATATGAATGATTGCATGAAACACAATATGAATGAAAGATTTTGTGAAACACAATTTACATAAAGGAAACACAATGTATATGATATATTGTACGCAAACCAATATAAAATTTAAATCAAATACTGAACTGTTCAGAAAAATAAAGACATACACAATTGAAATGCATTTAATTTTAGAATTATAAAGCAAAAATAAAATCCCACTTCCACTGTCATTGAGTAGAACTGACTCAGTGCTTCTGAGTGTAACTACCCCAGAGGATTTCCTAGACTATCAACCTTCACAGAAGCCTGTCTCATCTTTCTCCTATGGGACTCCTAGTGGTTTGAATCACTGACCTTAAAATTAGCAGTTTAATGCTGTAAATGCATTCAAGGATATACTTGTTAAAGCATCAGGCAAATTATGCAAAGTTCAACATTTTGTTCTCTCCTATTGTTCACCCCTGGCTATATTTGCAAGTCCATTTATGCCACAGGAGTAGTACTCACTTCCTAAACAATATTGCCTCTGGAAACTATGAACTTTGATAAATGACGGCAGTAACAGAAAGGCTTCAGATCTTTTATTTATAGGGTAGCAATGAGTTGTGCTCAACATGATGGCAATCACCAACAACATTTATGTCATAGGCTCAGGCTTCAATGTTTGGTCCCAATTTGTCTCTTATGACCTTTGATTTTTTTTTAATTATTATCAAATTTTATCAGTTTTAGTGAAAAGTCTCTTGAGTTAATGTTTCCGTCCAGCATGAAATTTGGATCCTATTACAGTCTTCTGCAGGTTGTTGTTGTTATTGTTATGTACTGTCAAGTCGCTAGTGACTCATAACAACCCTTTGTACAACAGCCCTGAAACCTGCTCTAGCCTATGCCAACATTATTGTCTCCAATACATCTACCCTCATAACCCGAATCACTTTATCAATTTATCGCATCAATGGTCTTCCTCTCTTTCTCCATCCCTCCAACCTTCCAAGTGTAATGTCCCTCTCCAAGGACTAGTCCCTCCTTATAACCGCTCAGAGAATGTCAAACAAAGCCTGCAGGAGTCAGAAAATCAAAAGGGACAAACTTGATTAGCATTTCTCAAACTGAAGAAACTGAAGAACAAATTAAAGCCTCAAGTTGCAGTACTTAAGGATATAATGGACAGAGTATTGAATAATCCAGGAAACATCAAAAGAGGATGGAAGATGTGCTGCAGGAGGGGAGGTTAATCATAAAGAAGATAGAAAAGGAAGTGGAAAAGGGAAGAAGGACACAAGTATTTCTTTTTCTCCCAGAAGAATTCTCATATTGTTTTTTGTTTTCCATCTATAAATTACAGGTAAAATAGTGACTAAAACTTACTCAAGCAATTAACTCCACAGAATCATGTTTTGAAACTTCTATACCAGTTGGCATTCTTATTTTTCAAATAATTTATAAACTTAATTGAAGAGCAACACCTAGTATTACATCCACATTTCAACTCCTATGCTTTCAGTAAACATATAGTGGTACAGTGGTCAGTTGAAAGGAATCCTATACCAAAGCAAAAATACACTAAATCCTAAAATGTATATATATCTACACATGTCCAGGTGTTAAGTTTCACTGCTGTTTTATATCAGCATAACCACAGTCAGAATAGCAAAATTTAACAGAACAGCAAACAACAAATGCTGGCAAGGTTGTGGAAAATCTGGAACCCATATTCACCATTGGTGGAAGTGTAAAATGGTGCAACCATTGTGGAAGGCAGTATGTTGCCTTCTCAAAATGTTGCAAACGGAGACACAATTTGACCCAGCAATTCCACTCCTGGGAATATACCCCAGAGAGACCACAAATGACATCCAAGCAGATATATGAACACCCATGTTTACTGCAGCTTTGTTCACAATAGCAAGGAGTGAGAAACAACCAAGTGTCCATCAACAAATGAATGGATAGAGAAGCTCTGGTATACTATGCTGCATTGAAAAACAAGGAACTCATGCAATATTATTCAAAATGGATGACCCTGGAGGACATTATGCTGAGTGAAGTATTTCAGTCACAAAAGGACAAATACTGCATGGTGCCACTGTTGTAAAACCCGACTGATACAGGGGTTGGGCGTAGACTAAGAAAGAAGTGTTTAATAATGTATACTGCATTGAAACAAATGAGGGAGAAGACGGTTTAAAAGGGATATGTGATTAGGTATTTTTGTCATGACAGGTGTCTAAAGCAAAAGCTACATGGTGGAGTGGACCTGGGGGGAGGGATTGTAAAACAATGAAAGAATTTTTCTTTTTTTCCAAGAGGGTAGTGTACTGGGCTGGAGGGTTGGGAGGGAAGAAAAGGGCAACAATGAATCAATGAAAAAAAAAAAAATATATATATATATCTTCACTGGGGGGGAGGAAGTAAGAAGAATAAAGAATTATAAAGTCTTAAATGTCTACCTTATATTCATCCACAATAATGCTGAGGGCTTCATGACCAGCTTTCCTCATATCTTCTAATTCCTGTTTATGTTTTTCCTAAAAATAAAAGGGGAACAAATGTTAAACCATGATTAGTTCTTTCATTTTCAAGTTGAGGTGCTGTTGTGTACCATTGAGTGGGTACTGACCCATAACTGACTCTCTGGCAGGTTTTCAGAGGCAGTTAATCACACAGGGGATTGCCCATAGTTCTCCTATGGAGCAGAGAGTGGCCTCGAACTACGCAGGCCTTTGGGATTGCAGTGAAACTCTTGTCACAGGTTATGTGTAACATACAGATAAAAATGAGAAGTCTTCTTATGTTAAGCTTCGATTTAAAAGTATTGGGGAAAGGACCTGTGAAGGAAGGTAGAATTAAGAGGAAACAATATCTGAGGGAGGAAGATCATGCTGAGAGGTGAAGAAACAGCAGATAATAGTGTTTTCCTCTGGGGCATTTGGCAATCCTGGCCTGGGACAGGAGTCAGGATGCTTAAAATGTACCTGGACAAAGGACAGCCACTTAAAATAGAAAATCTAACAAAAATTCGGGCAGTCTTAGGTCTAAAGTGATAAAAGTTAAAACCTTGATTATTCAAAAAATCAGAGAGTAAGAGAAGGTAGAGAGTCGAGCAAAAATTTTGTTTCCTTTTTCTTCCTATGCATTTCAATTCTGGAATTAATTGCATAGGTGCCTAAGAAGCCTGGAATGTAAGACTAACACAGAAGAATTTTTGGCAGTCTGACAGAGTTGCTAAGGATATTAAACTCTAAAATAGTTAAGAGCCCATCTATAGTTAAGGATTCAATGAAGACCTGAGGTCCTCAGTCAAAACCAAGTACAGGCTACACTCTAGGGTTAGGAGGGAACAAAAGGAAGCTTTTCCAAATCAGCATTTACTTATGGAGCAGATAGTGGTTCTCTACTGAGGAGTATATAGTAATAACTTTGGGAATTTAATTAATGCAAAGTTTTAAGTCCTGTATTGTTTCAACAAGTTTGAATCTCTGTATTTTGTTTTTACTTCTTCAGATGATCCTTACACATCATAATTTGAAAACTAATAGATTCAGGTTATAAGTTCCCCAATCTACTCTACTTGACCAGGAAAGTAGTTGCTCTCTCTTGAAGATGTGAACATCCAATACAAGAAATTTTTTCCTCTCATTTTTCAAACACAATGTTAAGTTATCAATATAAAATTATCAGAGATAAGAATAGACAAGAACAGTAACAAGAATAAAAAAGATGGGGGATGAAAAAACACCTAGAAAGTGAAATCATCATCACTTGAGTGACTAAAAGATAAGATAGTTATGAGTTTTAAAGTATGTACAATCAATATTTTTTATAAAATAAAGGGGAATATGAAGAAAAGAATGTTAAGATACTAAATTTCACCAGGGTAACGACAAGATCCTTTTTACGTGATTCTACTTTTGCTCTTTTACAGAAACCAGAATAATTCTTTTTAAACTTAAAGGTCCAGTGCACTGCTTTTGAATTAATATTGATTTAAAGCAATCCTACAGGATATAGTAGAACTGGCCCGCAGGATTTTCACAGCCATATGTCTTTGTGGAACAAGAGGTATTACTGATGTCTGCAGGATCTTGGCTGAAAGAGGAAAATACCACAAAGATGTTTACTTGAGTTTTACTGACTATGCAAATGTATCTGACTATGTTGATCATAACTGTTTATGACTAACATTGAGAAGAAGGGAATTTTAGAATACTAAATCTTGCTCACAGGATAGAGCAAGGTTTAGGGCTATTGTACATAGGGTTGCTATGAGTCACAGGTGATCAACAGCACATAACAACAACCAACAACAAAAATCTTGTTCACAGAAAACCAAGAAGCTATTGTTCAAGCAGAACATGGTTTTAAAATCTGGAAAGGTGTGCCTCAAGGCTTTATCCTTTTGTTATACCTATCAATCTCTATGATGCTGAACAAATAAGCAGAGAAGCTAGACTGAAAGGAGGAGTATTTGGCATTAGAATTGGAGAAAGACTCAACAAACTGCACTATGCAGATGACATGATATTGTTTGAAAAAAGAGAAGAAGACTTGAAGTACTTATTGAAGAAGATCAGAGACTACAACATTCAATATGAATTACATCTCAACATCAAAGGGAAAAGATTTGGCAATCTGCTACGTAAGGTTTCATTTTCGATGTTATTGTTATTATTGTTAGGTTCCACAGAGTAGACTACAACTCATAGCGACCTTACGAAAAACAGAATGAAACCTTATATCATCCTCCCAAGTTCTGACATGCTTGAGCCTGATAATAATCAGAATAATCAATGAATAATCAATTTTGGTCAAAATTAACCAGTTTCCTAAAGGGCAAAGATTTGACAATCTGCTATGTAGGGATTCACTGTCATTGTTACTGTTACTATTATCAGGTTCCATAGAGTAGACTACAACTCATAGTGACCCTATGAAAAACAGATTGAAACCTTATATCATCCTCCTAAGTCCTGACATGCTTGAGCCTGAAAATAATTAGAATAATCAAGGAATAATTGAGCCTGTTTTTGCATTCATTCTATCAATCAATCTTATTGATTAAGAATAATCAATGCTTTTAAATTATGTTGCAAGCAAAAAGTACTGAATATACTAGGAACTATCCAAAGAACAAACAAATCAAGAATATTAAAATACTTACCATTGTAGCTATAGGTATCATCATGATAAAGAAAATGTTAATTGTTAATTAGCACATATGTAGAAGCAGTCAAGAAATCAAAAGTTGTGTTACACTTGGAAAATCTGTTGCCAAGGACTCTCTTAAGTGCAAAAGAGCAAGGATGCAAGTTTAAAGATTAAGGTACACCTGATCCAAGGATATTTTCATTTGCTTCCTAAGAATCCTAAAGTTGGATTATGAATAAAGATGACAGAGAATAATCAATGTTTTTAAATTATGGTGCAAGCAAAAAGTACTGAATATACTAGGGACTGTAAGAAGAGCAAACAAATCTGTATGAGAGGAAGTGCAACTAGAACAACCCTTAGAGGAAAAAAAAGTGGCATTTTGTCTCATATATTTTGGATACAGTATCAGAAGTCGTCATTCCTGAGGAAAAAGACAAGCTGTGAAAGGTAAAAGGTCACCAAAACAGGGAAAGATACTCAATGAGATGGTCGGTAGAGTGACTGTAAAAACAGGCTCAAGCATGTCAGAAATTGGGAGGATTATTTAAAGGTTTCAATCTGTTTTTCATAAGGTGGCTATAAATTGTAGTCTACTCAATGGAACCTGACAATAACAATAAATCCTTACATAGCTGATTACCAAATCTTTTCCCTTTAGGAAGCTGGTGAATTTTGACAACAGACTTTTGATTAGTATCTAAAATCTTATCCAGTGTGTCACCAAGGTACCTTAAAGATAAACATCTACAGTGTAATATAATTTCCACAAAGACAAGAATTGTTACATCTGTATGCAGAATCCCCAAAATAGTATTTGTCACAGTAGGTGTTTCATAAACATCTGATAAATAATAAAATATCACCTTGTTATCCAAATTCCCAAACTCTCTCTGTTGTCCAGAGCAAATTCACTCATTCCTGACCTTCCTTTGAGTATGTGAAGCTGTAGACCTCATAGGAGAAGACTGTCCATCTTTCGCCCTTAAAGCCTCTGGTGTGAATTTCTAGAGAGGTGTGCTCTCTGGATTATTGGCACATCTCCCTACAGTGTAATCTCAAGTCAGAAAAGACTCATAGCGGACTCTCTCCAGTGGGTTTTAGGGGCAGTAAATTACACAGCAGGAAACTGTGCATCTCTCTCCTGGATTCACCCATGTGGTTTTGGGAGGGCATGTAATCCTTACTACCGAGCAGCACAACTACCTAAGGATCCCAAAGCTGCACCATTCATTCTCTCAGCGCCTCCATTCATCCCTTTTAAACTGTTGCAGTTAGCCTAGAAATAGTATGCACTTACTTTCTCAAAAATCATCTTATCAGAGAGGTTTTCGCAAATTACTTACATAAAAGAGCATAATATATCACCTCCTATTCACTAATCATACTTTACATACCTTCCTAGCATTTATACCATTTAATAGTTTGTGTTTATTTTTCATAGCTTGTAACTCTCAAACTTGAGAGAAAACTCAATTAGAACTGAAATTTGATAAAGTTCCTGTAACGCCTACAGAATAATACCTAGCCTGGTACAGAGTAGGGACTCCTCAAATATTTACTTAATGCTGACTCAATAACATAATTTGTAAGTTTTGAGGTTTGTTTTTTTTTCAGACGCCTACCTGTGACACTGATGTGTCAATGCATTATTAGTTGGCTACCTAATGCGGACAGAGAGTCCGATTAAAACAAGCTTGGAAGGAGGAGTGGCATCCAGTTCCATAGTATCTTGCCTCTGGAAACCCTATGAACCTGGAGAGAGGATGAAAGGCACTCAAGTGTCGAGGACTCTCCTTCATAGGGTTGTTATGAGTCGCCTGCAACTCGACAGCACTTAACAACACTAAAACAACTCCATAAACACCACAGGGTCTTGCTCATATATTGTTTCATGAAATCTTCTGTGTCTGCCAATTCCTTTTGCTACAATGACTCAGTATACTCTTTCCACCTACTTTTAATACTTCCTGGATTATTTAATATTCTGCCCAACGCATCCTAAGTATTGCAATTTGAGGCTTGAATTTGTTCTTCAGTTCCTTGAATTTAAGAAATGCTGAGCAAGTCTGGTCTGTTTGATTCTCTGACTCCAGCTCTTAGCACATTTCATTATAATACTTCACTTTGTCTTCCCACACTGTCCTTTGAAAATTTCTGTTCATCTCCTGAATATCTTGATTTCTTCTCTTTACTTTGGCTTATTGGTGCTCTAGTGCAATACTCAGAGTCTCCTCTGACATTCATTTTGGTCTTTTCTTCATCCTCTGTCTTTCTAATGACCTTCTACATTCTTCCTGAGTGGTATTTTTTTAATATCCTTCCACAGCTCATCTGGTCTTTGCTCATTAGTGTTCTCATTAGTGCTCAAGGCCTCAAA